ATTCAGCTATTTCAAGTCTTATTTCTTTGCGTATTTATTTTGCCAAGGAACACTTAATTCATTTTGTACACAAGATTCCATGGATTGTTCAAAAAGACCTACTGGTCATCTTGGTAAAATGAAATGGAACAGAACAGTTCCCAATGGCTGATTTTATCATCTATAAGAATCATTTATTTTGGTAAATTTGTTCTCCATTTCTTAAGCTTCCAAAGAATTCTTGAGTTTTCAGACCAGCCCGGAACAAACTGAATTTAGGTTGACTCTTTGATAAAGAGTTGAACAATCTAGGTAAAGATTAATTTTAAAACCCACCAAATATTTGGATCAGGACTGAGACTTAGAATACAACAGATTAATTTGCAGGGCTATCATGTATAGTAGATAAAGCGGAGCAGAGATCAAGAACAGATAAAAAAAATCTGGTCGTATTTGCTATATTTGGAAGGATTATTAATGGATTAAGAACATCTTTGGACAGCAATAGGGTAATAAGTAAATAAGCTTTCAGATTTAAAGAAAATCTAATAAAACATGATTTTAAAAGAGTTATAGCAGAAGGGGACACCGACATTTATGTTAATGAGTATTAGTGTAACATATAGAACCACTTCATGTAGACCCAGAAATTTGGTGTAGGGGAGGATATTTGATTTAACAAATATCAAATAACAAATATGAAGTCAAATATGAACAGGTTTGTGTTTGTATTTGTGTGTGTGTGTGTACATTTATGTGTAATCTTTTATCAGCACTGAAGTTGCTTAGTATGAAATATCAGATTCTTATAAGTGGAGGAATAGGTTGCAGAAAATGCTACCTAACATTTCCCATCCATCCATCAATTCAGTTTGTGTAGTCAATTCTGAACTAAGGCTTACTAGAAAACTATTGTTGATTCAGAGATCAGGATGATAGAGGTACACTCGCTAACATTTTGGTGACAATCCCTCTAGCAAATTCAGTAGCAGTTGTAGACTGGTAGGAATTTTTGCCTCCGGGGCTTGAGGAAAGCTTCCTACTGGCTTTTTATTCCTGCTCAAATCAACTGAATGGCAACAGGAGATTGCTACAAAGCAGTATCTTTTCATCATGTCCAAAAATGTTGTGGAGTTAGGTTATGACGGTGAAGTAAGATGGGAAGATAAATAATAATAATTAAAAAAATAGGTGGGTGGGCAGCTGCTATCAACCACACCGCAGGATAGTTTTGATGCTGTCTTTGAATTTCTCCTGCCAGCATGTAGGCTGACATGGGATCAACATATCCTTTCCCATCCTTCAGCTTTCCCCACCCATCTGTCCATCAAATCTATTCTCATCATAGTTTTATCAATAGTAGTATCCATAAAAGACATTAAGTAGAGCTTATCTGAAGAGGAAGGAAAGATGGGCTGTGAGATCTGAACTGGGCTGCCTTCCCAATATTTAGTTCCACGACCCTCACTTACACTGAAATAAATGTTCAGATATTCTCATTAAAAAGAAGTCCATTTCAAAAGAAGGCACACAATAAACCATGGTTCACCTTTCCTATCTCTGATATTAAAAGGACAAAGCTCGGAAATTTGGGGTTACAACACTGAGTAGAAGAACAAAATGTTTAGACCTTTTTTTAAAGCCCATTTATCAACCCTCTTGTTGACTTTTAAAGCTT